AATGAATTTAGGAGATTAGCATGGTGGGCTTGAAGCCTTGTTCTCTTGGTCTAGTGGCATTTAAGGTATTTACTTAGAAAGTGGTATAATAATGGCACACTGGAAAGAGCATTAACCTGGGAGGCAGCATGATCTGGGTTTAAATTTCAATTCAATTACTAACAAGTCATATAGCTCTGGCCAAACTCATTTTTCTGCCTCTTTTTTCTCAATCATAAAATATGGATAATATTACTTAATTCTTGGTAGCATTATGAGGTATAAATAATATTATTTCAGCACATGGAAGGAACTCAGAGATATTATAAGCCTCCAGATCTATAAAATGCATGAAAAATTTTGGCACTTCACCTGAAATTTTAAAAAGCGTTCGTCTTAGATCTCAGTCTGCTTTCTTGTTTTAAACCCAGTTGAAATATAGGTTACATTTCTATTTTGCACTTGGTAGATTTCCATTTAGAAAGAGATTGCCTTTTAAAAAATATTCTTTACTACCTTTCAAAATCCCAAAACTTGGAATGTTTTTTTAGTGATGAAAAGTAATGGGCTATCAAGCTATAGGCAAACATGGAGGAAAAAGTCTGAAAAGCCTACATACTCTATGATTCCAACTATATGACATTCTAGAAAAGGCAAGCCTATCGACAGTAAAAAAAAAAAAAAAAAATCACTGATTGCCACGGGATAGTGGGGTGGGGAGATTGGGGAGAAGGATTGTATAGTTGCAGCACAGCAGATTTTTTGGGTGGTAAAATTCCTCTGTATAATACTACAGTGGTAAGTACATGACATTACGCACTTGTCAAAACCCACAGAATTGCTCAAAACAGAGCGAATCTTAATGTAAACTTAGTTAATGGACCTTAGTTAATAATGCATCAATGCTGATTCAGCACTTGTATCAAATATGACACATTAAGGCAAGATGTCAAAAACAGGGTAAATTATGAGCAGAGTAGTAGAGAAATATGGGAATGCTATACTATCTGTTCAATTTGCAAATTGCAGATTTAAGTTAATGATGCACTTATAACTGTGTATGTAACATTATCAATTATATTCCTACAAGTATTCCTAGAGTATTTCTCTTTTGATCAGGCATCAATGAGAACCAGATTCTCTGCTTACAACACTTTACGTGTTTAAAGTTTGGAAGAACTTTTAAGTCTGATTTTTGGCTATGTATATTTCAACTGTTTCTCCTAACCATAAACTTCTGGTGCTGGGACACATCGTATTGCATTACAACCTCTGCACTGGTATAGTGGGTGATGGGAGTATTTCAGGAAGTCACTTCTAGAGCAATAACTTTACTATACTGTCAAACAAAGCCAGATACTAGTTAAAGTGGTAAGGACAGGTTTTAATCAGTAATATACTGTTACAATAAAGAAGAATCCAGCATGAACAATTTGTACAGAGGTAACTGGGCATTTTAATGGGAGAATGAGGGAATAGGTGGGGACTGGGGGTGAGGAGGTGCTCAAAAGATTCAGGGAAGTGAAAAATTACAAAAAGTGTGAAGGAGGGCATTGGTCCATGTGAAACTCATCTAGGTTTGCTAACTGGCACTTACTGAAGTTAGGTTTCTACCTTCCCACAGAGGCTGGGAGACAGAGACCCTATCTTCTAATGTTGCGTGGAACAAACAGTAAATTATATTGGCAGCCCTGACTTTTCTCAAGCAGGTACTTAAAGGGCTGAGGGGGTGGGTGCCACAGTCATCCTAGGGATGTGGCCTTGAACTGTTAAAGACTATCCTGGCATTTTCTTCAAGTGTTTATAAGCCAAAGTTGAGGCATAGTCAAGAAAGGGCTTAAAGGAACCTGGCTAGAGTTTCATCAAGGAGAAAATTTTTTATCAATATCCTGAAGTGACTTCAAATCATAAAAATATATCCCATTAAGCCAAACTAATTATTCCTAGTTTAGTTTATTCTTAGTTGTATCTCAAAGTGTCCCCAGACACTATAATGTTGCCTAACACAAGATGAAGTGTAATAGAGGGAAAAATGGTATAAAGACAGAAGTCTTCACTGTTTGTGGCTCAAATATCTTCATTTTGCAAGTTTTACAAAAAAAAATGACCATGAGAACAGTAAATTTGGAGGGGTATTCTTCGGAATAATAGAATCAAAGTATCTTGATATTCAGAGTCAACAGCATAGCAGAGAGCAGAAGTGAGGGGATGTATGTAGTTAGAATCCCCAGAACTCTTCATGGGCAATGCTGGCAAAGATTAGTTTAGATGGATTAGAGAATTATTCTCTGGAGAAGTAGAATGTCTCCAGGAGGAGAAATACCTTACTTAGGGGCCTTCTAACAAATGACCGTGTCTCCAAGCTACCCAGTAGTGAATCTACCAGTCACCAACACCTACCCACATATACAAAACTTCCAATCTGATTTTTAATGCTGTTCTTTTAAATAGGTAGAGTCATAGATCGACAAACCATAGATCGAAAATCTCCAACTAAAACACACAGACCAACACAAACTGAATAAAGGAATATCCTCAGAAAGATAATTATGAGAAGGTATTGCAATTATGACAAATCAGATTTTTTTTAAGTAACAAAGAACAAAAAAGATTTACTGGAAATTAAAAATGATGTGGAAATGCAGTGAGCTTTCTAATAAAAGAGTTAGATGATAAAGTTTAGGAAAAGTCTCAGAGAGTAAAACAAAAATACAGATGAAAAGTAAGAAGAAAAGGCAAAATTATTAGAAAACAAATTCAGGATGTTCAAGATCTTTTTAAAATAATAGAGAAGAGGAAAAAAGAAAGAAATTACCACAGACGTCAAACAAGAACTTTCTCTTTTAGGTGAACGATTACAAAAGGACCACCAAATACCTAGCATAATGAAGTAACATATTTACATATATCCTTATGATATTTCAGAACACCAGGGATCCTAAAAGTTTACAGAAAATGGGAAAATCACATGCAAATGATTTCAATTCAGAACCATATCAGACTTCTCAGAAGACAATGGAGCACTATTTTGCCTAACTCTGAAGGGAAAAAATTCATCCCTAGAGTGCTATGCCTACTCTATCAGTCAAGGGCAAAATAAATATATTAAAAGACATGGAAGATTTCAAAATAATTTGCCTTCTGTACACCCTTTCATAGAAGCTGCTAGAAAATGCATTCCCCCAAAATGATGGAGTAAATAAAAAAATTGTAAATAATGTCTTGTCTCTCAAATTAGGGATCAAATATAGGGGAGAGCCGAAGGGTATTAGATGATAATAAAGAGAAGTGCCAGGATCACAGTTGTTCACTAGATCTTGTGAGCAGTTCAAAGCCATTAGAGCAAAGGAACAGAAGTCTTCAGGAGAGATGTTTTTTCCACCTATTCTGGCCCAAATGAAATATGAGATGTGTTTTATTATTTTGGAACTAGTTCACTCTTTCTGAGAGATATGATAGTAATGGATGAGGATAAAGAAGTCAGGATTTAGAGAAGTTGTTTTTTTCAGAGTCACAAAGTTCTTTATGGAGCTTGTAATCAAACCTAAGAAACCATAATCCAGGGTACTACATGCTTTATTCACAATGCATTAATCAAAATTATAATGCAAAAGAAAAAAACAGTAGTGCCCTAGGATAAGAGATTACTTTATAAGAATAATTGCATATTTTGATGTACAATTTACAAAGTACTTTTTGCATAATATTTTAGTTATGACAAAGGACTTCGGAAGGATTTTGAGATGGAGAGGTGACATAGGTCAAGTGAATGGAGAATGGGATATCTGCCAGTACTAATAATCAGGGTGGAACTGGGGTAGATGCCAGTAAATTCTCAAGATTCACTGAAAACCTTTTATGGTATTGGTAGGATGTTTTGGAAGCAGATACAACAGACTTTTCCATTGCTAGTGATTTAATGACTGAACTACAACCTCTGATCTGTATCATTGACTTGACTTCAAGCTTTTACTGGGTGACAAATGTGTCAGACTGATTTGAGCCCTGCAGATGCAAAACCTATGGTCTGAAATTCTTCCTTTGGAGATTAACAGTGTTAAATGAATCAACTTTGTTTTAAATGACAGGGTTTTCTCTCTTTAGCTTCAAATTTTTATCTTAACCATATTAATTGGAATTTTTCTAAAATGAATTGAGCATGTCTCTTCCTTCTTAAATGGATTAGAGAACCTATCTTGAACTTTAATTTTTCTTCTTATTGGTGTCTGGGTTCCTTCTTTGTGGAGTATCAAGTTAATAGTGTTATAGAGCTTTTTAAAAAATACATTTCACTATATTTACCATTGCTCAAATAAATGGACGCTTTCTTTTTACCATTTTAACCAAGTGCATGCAATTTTTCTATATGTGAAACTTCACTTACAGCCTTCTTCACTTAATTCAGGAAATTATTTTAAAAATTGAGAACTGATATTTTAATAAAATTTGCCCTATTTATTTTATATCTCCTTTGATAGGTAAAAATAAAACTTTTAGTATACTTTACTAGAAGTCATGGTGGAGTGAATCTTTTGCCTGTCCACTCCCAAATTCTAGCCTTCCCCTCCCCAACTTCTATTTTACTTTGAAAAATTGACCATATTATCAGAGCAAATGAGGCCGATTCTTAAATAAGATGTGTTATATTCCATGATGTTTAAATAATGATATATTGAAATATCCAAACATATCTACTGTGTATATGTATATATGTATGTATATATACGTATGTGTGTATATGTGTAAGTAATACCAAATAAAGTATACAAAAAATATATGTATATATTCACATTTGTAAATGTATGTCTATATATAGGTATGTAATAATATAAAATACTCCCACCATTGTAGTCATATATATGCTGATTAAAATGCACATTATATTTTCACTGACATCTTTTGTAATTGGTTATCATCTTAGTCATAGTGGACATATGCATTTAGGAAAGATTGTGTTTTTTACATGAACATAGCAATTCAAATTCTAAATGTTTGCTTTTTTAAAAAAAATTCCTATCTAGAAATTGACATTGAACGCTGTGTGCGAGAATCAATCAACCTGTTTTGTTGGACTCCTAAAAGTGCTACTTACAGACAGCATGCTCAACCTCCAAAGCCAACTCCTGATAGCAGTGGAGTCAGAAGTTCAACACCTTTTTTCTCCACTGAGTGTCCAGATCCTCCAAAAACAGATTTGGTATGTATCTGCAGATTTAATTTACAAACTCTGAAGGAAGACATGTTAAAAATGTACTGTAGCATAATTATTGCTCATAATAATGTTATCACTTATGTCCTTTTAACATAACTATATTCTAATATATGATTGTATTTATGCAACTTTAGAAAACCTTTATGTCTATTTAGTTTTACAGTTAAGAAGATTGTTTGATATATTTCTTCAGGTAGCAAGCTTCACATTTTGTCTATGTAATCGTAGTATCTCAACTTGTCATATGCTGAAAGAATTACAGAAGCAAAGGAAGAATTACAAAAATAGAGAAAGACAAAGGTGCCTCAGTGGCTCAGTGGGTTAAGTGTCTCCCTTAGGTTCAGGTCATGATCCCAGGATCCTGGGATTAAGACCCACATTAGGTTCCCTGCTGAGGGGATGGGTGGAGTCTGCTTCTCCCTCTGCCCCTCTGCCTGCCTCTGTACTTGTTCTCTCTCTCTCCATTTCAAATAAAGAAAGACATCTTTTTTTAACATTTAATTATTTTATCATTTTTTCTTTCAATTTTTTAAATTCAATTAATTAACATAGTGTATTATTAGTTTCAGAGGTAGAGTTCAGTGATTCATCAGTTTCATATAACACCCAGTACTCATTACATCACCTGCCCTCCTTAATGCCCATCACCCAGTTACCCCAACTTCCCACCCCCCTTCCCTCCAGCAACCCTCAGTTTGTTTTCTATGATTAAGAGTCTCTTCTGGTTTGTCCCCCTCCCTGATTATGTCTTGTTTTATTTTTCCTTCCCTTCCCCTATGATCCTGTTTTGTTTCTTAAATTCCACGTATGAGTGAGATCATATGATAATTGTCTTTCTCTGATTTACTTATTTTGCTTAGCCTTCTAGTTCCATTCATGTCATTGCAAATGGCAGGATTTCATTTTTTTGATAGCTGAGTAGTATTCCATTCTATATATATACCCCATCTTCTTTATCCATTCATCTGTCAATGGACATCTGGGCTCTTTCCATAGTTTGGCTATTATGGAATTTGCTGCTATGGCATTAGGGTACAGGTGCACCTTCGGATCACCACATTTGTATCTTTGGGGTAAATACCCAGAACTACAATTGCTGGGTCATAGGGTAGCTCTATTTTCAACTTTTGAGGAACCTCCATACTGTTTTCCACAGTGGCTACACCAGCTTACATTCCCACCTACAGTGTGAGAGGGTTCCCCTTTCTCTGCATGCTTGCCAACATCTGTCATTTCCTGACTTGTTGATTTTAGCCATTCTGACTGGTGTGAGGTGGTTTTGATTCATATTTCCCTGATGCAGACTAATGTTGAGCATTTTTTTCATGTGTCTGTTGGCCATTTATATGTCTTCTTTGGAGAAATGTCTGTTCATGTCTTCTGCCCATTTCTTGACTGGATTATTTGTTCTTTCAGTGTTGAATTTGATGAGTTCTTTATAGATCTTGGATACTAGCCCTATATCTGATACGTCATTTGCAAATATCTTCTCCCATTCTGTCGGTTGTCTTTTGGTTTTATCGACTCTTTCCTTTGCTGTGCAAAAGCTTTTTATCTTGATGAAGTCCCAATAGTTCATTTTTGCCTTTGTTGCCCTTGCCTTTGGAAATATGTCTAGCAAGAAGTTGCCACAGGCAAGGTCGAGGAGGTTGCTGCCTGTGTTCTCCTCTAGGATTTTGATAAATTCCTGTCTCACATGTAGGTCTTTCATCCATTTTGAGTTTATTTTTCTGTGTGGTGTAAGGAGATGGTCCAGTTTCATTCTTCTGCATGTGGCTGTCCAATTTCCCCAACACCATTTGTTGAAGAGACTTTTTTCCATTGGACATTCTTTCCTGCTTTGTCGAAGATTAGTTGACCATAGAATTGAGGGTCCATTTCTGGGTTCCTTATTCTGTTCCCTTGATCTATGTGTCTGTTTTTGTGCCAGTAGCATACCGTCTTGATGATTACAGCTTTGTAATAGAGCTTGAAGTCCAGAATTATGATGCCAACAGCTTTGGTTTTTCTTTTTCAAGATTTCTTTGGCCATTCGGGGTCTTTTCTGGTTCCATACAAATTTTAGGATTATTTGTTCTAGCTCTGTGAAAAATGTTGATGGTGTTTTGACAGGGATTGAATGTATAGATTGTATGCATTGAATATATAGATTGCTCTAGGTAGCATAGCCATTTTAACAACATTTGTTCTTCCAATCCATGAGCATGGAACATTTTTCCATTTCTTTATGTCTTCCTCAGTTTCTTTCATGAGTGTTCTATAGTTTTCTGAGTACAGATCCTTTGCCTCTTTAGTTGGGTTTATTCCTAGGTATCTTATGGGTTTTGGTGCAATTGTAAATGGGATCAACTCCTTAATTTCTCTGTCTTCTGTCTCATTGTTACTGTATAGACATCCAACGGATTTCTGTGCATTGATTTTATATCCTGCCACTTTACTGAATTCCTGTATGAGTTCTAGCAATTTTGGGGTAGAGTCTTTCGAGTTTTCCACATAGAGTATCATGTCATCTGCAAAGAGTGAGAGTTTGACTTCTTTGCTGACTCAAATGCCTTTTATTTCTTCTTGTCTGATTGCTGAGACTAGGCTTCTAATACTCTCTTGAACAGCTGTGGATGATAGTGGACATCTCTGCCATGTTCCTGACCTTAGGGGAAAAGATGTCAGTTTTTCCCCATTGAGATTGATATTCCTATGAGCTTTTCATATATGGCTTTTATGATAATTGAGGTATGTTCCCTCTATCCCTATATTGTGAAGAGGTTTAATCAAGAAAGGATGCTGTACTTTGACAAATGCTTTTTCTACATCTATTGAGAGGATCATATAGTTCTTGTCTTTTCTTATATTAATGAAAAATTGATTTGTAGATGTTGAACCACCCTTGCAGCCCAGGAATAAATCCCACTTGGTCTTGGTGAATAATCCTTTTAATTTAATGTTGTATCCTATTGGTTAGTACCTTGGTGAGATTTTTAGCATTCATATTAATCAGGGATATTGGTTTGTAATTCTCCTTTTGGGTGGTGTCGTTGTCTGGTTTTTGGATCAAGGTAATGCTGGCCTCATAGAAAGAGTTAGGAAGTTTTCCTTCCATTTCTATTTTTTGGAACAGCTTCAGAAGAATAGGTAATTCCCCTGGGAAGCCATCAGGCCCTGGACTCTTGTTAGGAGATTTTTGATTACTGCTTCAATTTCCTTATTGGTTATGGGTCTGTTCAGGTTTTCTGTTTCTTTGTGTTTCACTTCTGGTAGTTTATACATCACTAGGAATGCATCCATTTCTTCCAGATTTTCTAATTTGCTGGCATATAGTTGCTCATAATATGTTATTATAATTGTATTTCTTCACTGTTGGTTGTGATCTCTCCTCTTTCATCCATAATTTTATTTATTTGGGTACTTTTTTCTTTTCTTTTCGATAAGTCTGGCCAAGGGTTTATCAAACTTATTAATTCTTTCATCAAAGAACCAACTCCTATTTTCGTTGATCTATTTTAGTGCTCTTTTGGTTTCTATTTCATTGATTTCTGCTCTGATCTTTATTATTTCTCTTCTCCTGCTGGATTTCGGCTTTCTTTGCTGTTCTTTCTCCAGCTCCTTTAGTTGTAAGGTTAAGCTGTATATTTGAGATCTTTCTTGTTTCTTGAGAAAAGCTTGTATTGCTATATACTTACCTCTTAGGACTGCCTTTGCTGCACCCCAAAGATGTTGAACAGTTGTGTTTTCATTTTCATTTCTTTCCACGAATTTTTTAAAATTCTTTAATTTCCTGGTTGACGCATTCTGCTCTTTAACCTCCATGTATTTGAGGTCTTTCCAAATTTCCTCTTTTGAATGAGTTCAAGTTTCAAAGCATTATAGTCTGAAAATATGCAAGGAATGATCCCAATCTTTTGGTACTGGTTGAGACCTGATTTGTGACTTAGTATGTGATTTATTCTGGAGAATGTTCCTTGTGCACTCTAGAAGAATGTGTATTCTTTTGCTTTAGGATGAATGCTCTGAATATATCTGTGAAGTCCTTCTGGTCCAGTGTGTCATTCAAAGCCCTTATTTCCTTGTTGATCTTCTGCTTAGATGATCTGTCCAATGCAGTGAGTGGAGTGTTAAAGTCCCCTACTATTATTGTATTATTATCAATGTGTTTCTTTAATTTTGCTATTAATTGGTTTATCTAATTGGCTGCTCCCATCTTAGGGGCATACATATTTACAATTGTTAGATCTTCTTGTTGGAAAGACCCTTTAATTATGATATGGTGTCCTTCCTCATCTCTTATTACAGTCTTTCGTTTAAAATCTAATTTGTCTGAGGTAAGGCTTGCTACCCCAGCTTTCTTTTGATGTTCATTACCATGATATGATTTTCCACCCCTGACTTTCTATCTGGATATGTCTTTGGGTCTAAAATGAGTCTCTTGCAGACAGCATATTGATGGGTCTTGCTTTTTTATCCAATCTGATACCCTGTGTCTTTTGATTGGAACATTTAACCCATTTATATTCAGAGTAACTATTAAAAGATATGAATTAGTGCCATTGTATTACCTGTAAAGTCACTGTTCCTTTATATTGTCTCTGTTCCTTTCTTGTCTGTGTTACTTTTGGGCTCTCTCTTTGCTTAAAGGATCCCCTTTAATATTTCTTGCAAGGCTGGTTTAGTGATCACAAATTCTTTTAGTTTCTGTTTGTCCTGGATGCTTTTTATCTCTCCTTCTATTTTGAATGGCAGCCTTACTGGATAAAGTATTCTTGGCTGCATATTTTTCTCCGTTAGCACCCTGAATATTCATGCCAGCCCTTTCTGGCTTGCCAGGTCTCTGTGGATAGGTCTTCTGCCAGTCTGATGTTTCTACCCTTATATGTTATGGACCTCTTGTCCCGAGTTGCCCTCCGGATTTTCTCTTTGTCTCTGAGATTTGCAAGCTTCACTATTATATGTCAAGGTGTTGGCCTATTTTTATTGATTTTGAGGGGGGTTCT